TGCAAAAATGTTCAAAATACTTTTTCTGTGCATCTCATTTACAGAAACTAATGCATAAAAGTAGGCTCGCTGACGGCTGTGAATATTTGGTATTGTACTGGACATATACAACATGTATATGCCCATTTATGCAAAGGAAAATAGAAAAACACACCTGCAGATAACAGTCTCTAAACCCAGCTGACCTAGCAGATTTATTACAGTTTGTATCACATATGGTTTCCAGGTACTTTCACAAGTTCTATTGACACATCTGCTCAGGTAGCCTACCTGCAGCTGAAGCCGCTTGTGCCTTCCCTGCAGTTGGTACTTTAAATCAAGACAATCTTCATTAGCAAAACAATTTGGGTGTGGAAAACAAAACAAAACAAACAAACAAAAAAAAGCTGTCAGCACACTTTTATGATCTCACTGCATTTATAGTAAATAGGAATAAAAAAACCCACATCACCTCAAGAAACAGTAGAATATCATTATGTAATTCCAGTCAGAGGAGAAAACAGATCATTACTGTTGTTTAACCTAATGCATTTCTGCCTTCATCAATCAATAAAATAATAAACAAAGTCTTTTAAGATTCCTCCAGCTTTACATCCAATTTTGAAGATATCTGTGCTCCCCAGGTACATGTGTGTAGGTGCACATGTATATTCAAAAGAAAATATTTCATCCCTTTTGAGCTTGAGAGATTTATTTTCAGAGTAAAGTGAATAAATGGTAAAAACCAGGAGGTAGATTTAGAGGATTTAAAAGTCAGATCATTTCAGTGGTCTTCAATACCATAATTCTCTTGAATTCTAAAATGTTATGACTAGTAAAATGCAAAACTTATCTTTTGCTAGTCTAAGGATGCACAAACTCAAGAATTTCTTCTTCTTCATCTGTAAATAGAACAGTTAAAAATGCAGTGGAAACTCACTGACACGTCATCTGAGGATGCTTCCTTACATTAATGTAATGCTTCTGTTTCATATACCGCCACATCTTCATTTTCCTTAACTCTTCTAATTAATGTAAAATCAGCATTTTTACTAGTGTTGATCTAATTCAGACTTACTCAGCATACTTATAACATGAAATCAGAACCTCCAATTAAAATACGGAAGCACTACATACATCTCTAAACAACATGCATGTCTGTTGCACTCTTTTACCTGTACGATCTGTGCTCATCTCTTCTCTACCTTCCTTTTCCTTTCACTAAAGCAAGACTAAATGAAACCTGCCAAATGCCACCTTTGTAACAAAGAGCTACCATGAAGTTATCATAGAGTAAATTGATGTCAGCTGAGCTTTTTCTTTTTTTTTTTTTTCTTTTTTTTTAGTGCTCCAAAACACTGTCATTTAGCTTCCAAACAATAAATGTAGATGTAGATTAAAGTGGTAGTGGCACGATTCCAAACGGAAGTGTTCCACTGGCAATACGTAAAACAGGAGACGAGCAGGTTCACGCACTGCTAAATTAACAACTAAAGCCTTTCAAGTGCTTTTATTTCTTCCAAACGCTCACTGTGAATTCCTACTACATTAATCCTTCCAAATCAGAAAAGTTCAGATTGAGAAAGAACACCCAAAGTTACAAAAAGTACTCCGAATTATTTCAATAAACATTAGAATGTGAAATAGCAAGGTAGAGTTTTTAACTAAAGAAATTTCTGTTCCTATTATTTTCTAACATTTTCAGTGTAAGCAGCAAACCCTAAGAGGATCAGCCGTATTTTATGTCATCAGCATTTTATAAGTGCCACATTTAAGTACTCCGCTGAAAATACCATGAGTATGTATAAAGATGAAAGGCTTATGAATATAAATAAAGCTAAGACTCCGACTGCAAACCTTATCATTTTCTAAAATACATTTTAGCAGAAACGCCAAAGATTCTTGAATTTTACCTTCTGAGTTCTCAGTTCATAGTAAACAAATTAAAAAAATGCACTATAGAATCGTACAAACTGAAGTAGGACAGGAAAAAAATATCAGTAAATATGCCAATGACAACCTGTGACAATAAGAGAGAAAGATCGCTACAATCGTGACACGAGCCCCGAGATCAGCACCCCAGCCACCAAAATACTGAAACAAACCACTTGGTTTTAAAGCCCTTCTAGAATAACACAAACTGTTAAAGTCAAATTACTCGACAAACAAGGAAGCCCAAACTTTCAAGATTGCTGCCTTACTGCCCTCGAGAGTTCACCTCTGTCTCCCGTGAAAAACGCCAATACAAAAATGCTGAAATACCTCCATAAGCCCAAAGGAAAGCCTGTGGACAGGCAGATGATGTGATATATTCCTTCCTTCCCATTCTTGGGCAGCTTCTTCTCTCTGCGGCTGAAAGCAAATGCTTGGAGACTCAGCCGCATATTTAATTAGAAGCAAGCTGCTCGCACTATCACCGTGCGAATCTACCTCTCCAATCTCTCGTGAGTCAATCTTTCCCATCTCTGATTTTCTTTTATATTTATGCTAGAATATTTAATTGTAGACAAAAGGTTACTCTGGCTGTATTCACTGCACAGAGGCAGAATAATCTGCTTTAAAAGGCTTGACATTTCAGGCTTTTCAAAAAGGCTGAAAAAATTATATCCCTGCTTTTGTTAATCAATGAAGTAGAACTCTCCTGAACAAAAGAATTAAATTGCTTGGTTGGTTTAATAAAACCAACAGAAATAGCTGCTTCCTCTGGGCTTTATTGTGTAGGCATGGCACACGCATCCAGCACTGTAATTCCATATGATTCAGGGGCAAAACTCTAATTTCTGCACACAGTTGGGTTTTTAAATCCTATTCAAACTCTACCCATTCTGGCTGGTTCTCTAAGGCCAGATTTATCATTAAACTTGACTTTTTCCTAGGTGCAGCAGCCATACAGCAATTTTGGTTTTTGTTATTCTGCTGTAGGAAAAAATGTTCATTAAAAATGTATTAATGGAACTATTACTTTTACATGGTTTTATTTAGCTAATAGCTAATAGTTTTACACTTTTGTCAGCTATTTAATAACTGCACAAGTGTTTGAGGGTGTGAACAAGTGCCAGCAAGTTTGACAGGAACATATAAACAGTAGTTAGAAAACCCATAAGCATCCACCAAGAAAACACTATTTTGTTACTGTTACATTTGCAGACACGATTTGGTATTAACTGGACGTTTTCAGCCAAGGAGCATTGTTATTTCTGACAGAGTACAGCAGTTATACAGCTGCCATGCTGTCTTATCCACAAGCCCATTATTTGCCATAATTTAATGAAGAGATTCTGCACCTTCAGCCAGTGAATGGTCACATCAGTATACAGACCCAGGCCCCTCTGCTGGAAGCGTTCTTCAACTCCAGCCACCCTTCAATAAACACAAGGCACTGAGAAGCACTCCATTGCAGCTGCCTTCCAACTGGCGCTCCATGGACACTTGGGACCCTTGCAATGAATGCCACTGTTTTCTACATAGCATTAACTTTCAAGTAGCAGCAGTGGTGAAGACACTTTCCATCCATGCAGGTATCAAAGTGCCAGAGAAGTGTTCTGGAAACTCCACTACTAATCTGCCTAAAATAACAATTCTTTATTGGTCAGCTGTGAGCACATCAACATCAAGCTTGGGGACAGCTGAGCATGCCTGTATCAGCATATAACAAAGATACATGCTGAACTTTGGTTTTTCCTCCTCAGACTTGTCTGACGTGGAAAAAAAAAAAAAAAACAAAACCATTTCAGCTGCAACTGAACTCACTGGGAGCCAAATGACTTGGATTTCTGCTTGAGCAAATCATGAGTGCTGGCACCTGAGCATTTCCTGGTAAGCTGCAGTCCTCTGGCTCCATCCCAAAATATTTTTCATATTAAAAGTATTGCTAGCATTATGATTTTTTGAAAGGACTGTGCTATGATCACACAAATCATTAGTATATAGAACCTGTGGCTAAGAGGAAAAAAGTCCATGACAAGAGTGATCTAAGAGATGAAGCCCTTTATTCCTGCCTACATATAGTAGGGGTTCTGAAAGAATACCAAAACACCATTCATTACATAAAGCTACTTAAAATGCTTATGAAATGGTCAGTTAGCAACGAAGGTTCAAACAGTGCCTTAGACACAAAAATGAACATTTGGGAGTATATGAGGTGGGGAAGAAAGCGGTCTAGCTTAATGGTATTCCTTAAAGAGTTTCTTTCAGTCTTCGGAAAAGTATGGCATTCCAAGTCATGGCACAGTACTGGAAGCATGCATTTTACCCAGGCTCTTTTTCATGCACAGAAATCTCAGAGTTCAATTTTTTCTCCAGTTGTATGTATTGAAACTGATTGCCACACATGAAAACAAGTTTACTATCAATATGCAATTCACATAAACACTGGAAATACCATTGAATTAAGAAGCTAAATGAGTACTTATAGAAAAATCAGCATTATATTCAAGCTTAGGCCAAATATCACTGTACACTCAATTCTGAGGTCAAAATGTGCTTACTCCTGTTAGCATCCTTTCTATACAAGTACGGAGGTGCACGTGGGGATTTAAGACAAAAGTTATGTGAATTTAACAACACAAGCTAAACAACACATCTCCTGCCAGTATAATAGTATAATTAACAGGAAAATCCATCAAACTGTTCTAAAAATTCAAATGAGGAAGTCTTAGAAGTGGTCTGGCTATGTATGTTTTTTTGAGGAGAGGTAACAGCAGTGCACATTCTCTAGATAGCAAAGATACATTAAGAGCAAACCAAAATAAAAGCTGCATACAAAACAAAACCTGTATGAAAAAAAAAAGGCACAGATTTGGAAAACAAAAGAGCTCCCACTGCTGAAATGTATTAATGACATTGTTATCCATACCTTCCCCCTTCATCTCATTCTCCTAAAGAGAAGGAAAATGAAACTTGCAAACTTACTATATAGTAACAACAACAACACCCACCCCTAGGCATCTCAATGTTTTTTGTCTTGCATGATGTGAGGAAACAAACAGTTTTACAGAATCACAAATGAAGACAAAGCTTACCTTTGCTTGCTGCACCTGGAAATGCTCTCTAGGCTTGGGTGCGTCCCCTTGTTTAAAATTCACACACCTGCCTTGGAAGAGAGCTGTGGCCCACTGTAGTGGTAACTGATCCTGAAGCTATGGCACTTCTTTATGCCAGAATAGAGCCCTTAGCCAGAAAGTACCATTCCTGTATAGGTCTGCAGTTTTTCCAAGCTGCTTGTTATCCATCATTTCAGTGTCAACTGACAGGGTTCTGTGTGCTCCTCACTGGGCCCAATTCTTTGGGGACAATGAAGTTATACACTGAAGGTATACATGAGGTAAAACTCTGTCCGTCATAAAGCTGAGAAGTTCTCTTCTCAAAAGGATTAGGATTCCTTCACCTCTTTTGAGTCCAAGACTAGAATGAACGGGTATTTCTTCATTCATCTCCATTTATTCATCTTCAGTTAGGAGAGCAGGAGATTGAGGTACATCTGAATGCAGAGTGTGCAAAGGCCTTCATGTTGCAACAATCTCCATATGGTGAAACCTAGAAACTGGGGCCTTTCAGGATTCACAACTCATTAAGGCTGTGCAAATAATGGCTTTGCTCTTTTCCACTTTCTCTGCTACAACTGGCACAAGTGTGTTTTCCTACCACTCAATATAATGAGTTTCACAGCACAGACAACTATCAGCACTGATACAGTTGGAATAAATTTCAGAAAGGAGGGTTCAAGAGTATAACTGACTGTTGTGTAACAAATCACCTTAATATTTATGTACAAACCATTCACAAAATCAAATTTTAGCACTTGCCAAGACTTTCAAGGAGAAGCTGGATGGGGCTCTGAGCTCTCTGATCAGCTGTAGGTTCATTGCAGGAGAGCTGGACAACGTGGCCTTTAAGTGTCCCTTCCAACAAATGATTCTGTGGGTAGCAGGGAAGGAAAGAAATAGGAGACCACCTCCAAATACTTCGAATGATCCTGCTTCAAGCACCTGAAATTTAGGTGAAGAAATAATTCAGAGTCCAGATGAAATTATAACATACACTAAGTGAGCTCAGAGCTAAACAGAAGATAAAAAAAATGTAGGTTTCTCTGAAAGTAATGCCTCCTATTTATTTCCATGGAAACTACAGCAGATACGAAGAGCACAATAGCTCTACTTGGTAAACAACATTCTCAGCTGCAAATACTATTTTTCAACACAGTCACTACCACTAGCAATGCATTTTTGCCAGCAATGAACAAGAACCTGAATGCCCTGCTTGCAACAATCCACACCAGCAGAGATGACAGCTGTGCCTGGCCATCCAGGCCGTGGCTTGCATTTCACGTTGCTGCTATGTGTATTTCATGTTGCTGCTATGTGTATTTCACACTGCTGTTACGTGTATTTCATATTTCTGCAGTGCACCACCCACCGCCACACTGTGCTCACATTTACTGTTTGCTCTCCATCGACGTTCAGCAAGTGTCAAGGAAGGTCAGCAAGTGCCATTTTCTCCTCACGGAGGAGTAATTCAGTGACACACGTTTGCTTCATACACGCTTCCACTCCAGACACCATTTTGTCAGACTGCCGTCCATCACACGGCAGCCACGTGTAAGCACTACTGGGGGAAGGTTCAGCCCTGCTGCCATCCCACCACCATCGTGGGCCAACACAGTAAGAGCGGAGGCACTGTGCTATTGACAGCATTCCAACACAAGTGCCACAGCTGTAATTCTCCCTCACTTTGTAGCAATCTTCAGCAATGAAATACCGAAGCGCGGCCATGTGGGAGCGCACAGGGGAGCACGCAGCGCAGGGGAGGCCCCGCAGCGGCGAAGCGTGCCGAATCTGCGGCGACGTGTCGGGAGAGGAGCACGGAGCGAAAAAAAGAGCAGCGGGACGGGGCAAGGCTGGGAGAGCAAAGAGCATTTCCAAGCCACCGATCTGTGCCGCCAGAAGCGCTCAGGCACATCGGCACAATTTGCCCAAGGAGCACAGAAGCGTTCCACCACGAAGCGCGCAGCCCCGCCCCGCCTTACGGCAGTTGTCGTGCCGTGCCGCGCTTTACGGCGTGCTGCGGCCTCCGCGCGCTCCGCCCTGCGCCGGGCATTGCGGGGCGGCCGCGGCCATGGTGAGTGAGACGCGGGGCGCTCCGCAGCTGGGCGCGGCTGTTTTCCCTTTGCCCGCGCTGCCCAGCCCAGCTCCGCAGGTCGCCCTTCCTTCTTTTCTTTGTTTTGGTAACCGCGCGCTCCGTTTCCCCGCAGGCCGGGACCCTGGTGGCGGTCGGGCTGACCATCGCGGCGGCGGGCTTCGCAGGTGCGTGGGGGCGGCGCCCGGCGCGGGGCTGCGGGAGGTCGGCACGCGAAAGAGCGAAGTTGTTTTATGGCCGAAAAGATCCGCGTTCTGGGAACGGTGTCGATGGCGCCGAATTGCCCCGTGTCTCTGATGCCTCGGACTGAGACGTGTTCAACGCTGGTTTCTTTAAGGTCGTTACGCGCTGAGAGCCATGAAGCAAATGGAGCCCCAGATGAAGCAAGTGCTGCAGAACCTGCCCAGAGCGGTACGTTGGGTCAGCGGTATCTTAGCGACGAGGTGACAAAATGGAGCAGCTGCAGACTGCGGCCTCCACGTAGCATCGTATCTTCTGGAACTAAATGTAACTGTATCACTGATATCAGTGTGATTCTGGTGGTGGTTGATTAATTTGGGACACAGTGGGCAGTACTGGCAGTAGGTGGACGGTAAGATTTGGTGATCTCAGAGGCCTTCTCCAGCATTAATGATTCTTTTCTAGCAGAGTTGTTTTGGCCAGTTGAAGTGAGTACTCAGTGACACAACAAAAATGGAATTCCTTACTCCTAAGCACAAAAGAAGCTGCCCAGCACTGTTACAGAGCAATGCTCAGCAGCTGCTAAGGCAGTCGAAGTAGTTGTAACTGATAAACTTATATCACCTTTGTGTTTAAAACTAACACATTTTTTCTTTCAGGACTTCAGTGGTTATTACAGAGGTGGATTTGAACCCAAAATGACTAAACGAGAAGCAGCCTTAATACTAGGAGTGAGGTAAAAGGATATTAATTATAAATGAAAGGTAAAAAGGATATTCTTTTCTCTAGACTGTCCTATGCCTGCTTTCCCCAGAGAACATCACTGCCAAGCCAGGAAATACAGAGAGACCACTCTTGATTTTCTGTGCTTAGTTGGGATTTTCTGCTGGATGCAGCTAAAGTGAATTCTGGTTAGGCTCCCATACATCTCTAAGCCCCAGACACATTCAAGAGCCAGACACAGGCCCTGATAAATATGCCATTTTCTAGACTTGGCCTTGGTTCTGTATGGGGAACGTGGCTGTGGGTGCTGTCGTTCTGGTGGAGTTCAATGTGAAGGTGCTGTCCTTGCCTACTTCCTGCACGCTGGGCAAATCCACCGCTTACTGTCGGATGTCCTACACATGAGTGTGGTAACTGTTCCTGCCAAAGCTTAGACTCAGAACCAAATACGTAAGTTTATGTAATAACATACAGACTAAGAATCATTCTTCTCTGAAGGTAACTTCCAACTGGGAAGTTTGCATAGCAGGAGTTAAAATAAATTAAGAAGCTCTCCAGAGTTGTCCCAGTAAAAATGTTACAACGCAGCTTTGTTTGTTTTCAACTGAGTATTCAAGTTCAGGATGAATTCTCACACCAGCACTTGAGAGCTCTGTCAGGGATGGACAGGATTTGATTAGGACTTTCAGTTTTCAGTGGGAGCTAAATAAACAAAATCTTCAAGTGTGTGTGAATGCTGCCCAGTATGTTAGATTGCTGTAGCATGTCTTCTTGGGGAAGGAGGTATTTTGGAAAGCCCATAGGGAGCCTCTCCAGGACTTAAATGCTGATATACATGTAAGTCAAAGAGCTTATGGGTAAGACACCTTGTAAAGACCTGGGGGATTTTATCAGGTTCCCTCAAGTGAGTTTTTGTCTGTTTTTCAAACTAGCCCTACAGCCAACAGAAGTAAAATTAGAGAAGCTCATAGACGAATCATGCTTCTGAATCATCCAGATAAAGGCAAGTAAAAGTAATTCATTTTGAGCAACTAATACGTGTTTTTAACCCACGAAGAGAACAACTGTATAGAAGTGATGTGAATACTCTGTCTACTAAATTAAAAAAACAAAAAACAAACCAAAAAAAAACCCTGTAAAAAAATACTCAAAAATTCAGCAGGTCAACTTATTTGCTTTATCTGTCCTTAAGGTAAAATGGCTTCCTTAAAGTACTTCATTACTTCTGTGCACTAAAATGCCAAATAATCATTAGCATAGTTAATATCTAAGCAGAACTTACTTCAAAATTGACTACTGAATATATGCAAAACCTAAAAATAGCTGCTTAAAGACTCATGAGCATCTTACATGTTTTCATGACCTAAATAAGTTAAATTAAGCATCAAGTAAAGGCACTGGAGTTAAGTTCAATACCTGTGAAAGGCACACGTGCTACAGATCTTTGTAGCTCAGGATCAGTTACAATTACAGTGCATTTACACAATGAAATGTTTCAAAATTTTCATGAAGTTATTTGCATATCATGTTTAAATGCTGAACTAGTCTGTCAGTACAGCAGCAGTTTCTAGCCTAACTTTGGAATAGGGAGGAGAGATTCATCTGCAGAGGGGTACACTTGTGTATTCCCAAGAAGCTGCTTTTTATTAAGTCCTTACTGACCAGTTCATTTATTTAAATGATAAAAACTGAACTTTGTTAAACTAAAAGCAGTCTAACGATGAGCTGCCCGTGCATCTGGCTACTGCAGTCACTACGTGTGTAAACTCAAATGGCTTCAGTCATAATGCAGTTTGTTTTTGAACTTCAGTATCTTTCGCACTTCTTTTTTGTGTAGTGCAGGACCAGTAATGACCTACAAAGAAAATGCTTTCTTCATCTGATGTGACATGAGCTTATCTTTCTTCTAGGTGGTTCTCCATATGTAGCAGCCAAAATCAATGAAGCTAAAGATTTACTGGAAGACCAAGCTAAAAAATGAATTGGAGATAAAATCAGAGGGTTTGCTTGTATAAATGATTGTTTGTTATAAACAGCTTAAGGCAAGTACGAATCTCTATCAGTGACTTGATACAAATGAGGCTTGAAAAATTAATCAGGGGAGATACATTCCTCTGTGCTCGCTTCTTAGTCACTTTTGGGGAAATGTGAGGGAGTGAAGCTTAAGGTTTTTTCAGAGCTGTTCTTCAGTAAACGATTAAAGCTGCCACTCAGAAGTATTTTCTACATAGAAGAGCAGTAGTTTGGCTTGGCCAATTCTTCCTGCATGTTACCAGATGCTGACATGCTGTTACCTAATTTTTGTTAAACTAGTTACGTTGAAATTTGTGCTGCTATTCTGTCATATGCCAAAGTTAGCATGATGAAAGAGTGTGGGAAGGGGTAGAAAAGAACAGTAATTACTTAACAAAAAGCAGTAGGAGAGAGATGTGGTTGTTTCTGGATGAAGAAATAAAGTGTAAGAAACTGAACGTACTCAGTTGATGGTTCAGCTTCTTAACTGTTATTGAGGGATCTAAATGCCTCAAATTTTCTAGTAGCTTTCAATTCTTAATGGATTTTACAGCAGTAAATTACAAACCTTTAGTCAGTACTGCAGTTTTATGCATTATCTTATGCTACAAAGCTAACTCCCTGGAGCGATGAGAGGCCTGGCAGAGATCTAAATACACTGGAGCACTGGACAATCATCTGCTTGAAGTTCAAGGGAAAATGCCACGTGCCACATGTGGGACAGAGCAATGCTGGACTCAGGTACATGGTGGGGGACAGGTGGCTGAAGGGCAGCTCAGCATGAGGGGACCCAGTTGTGCCGAGGGCCGGTGTGCTCAGCAGCAGTGTGTCCTGGCAGCCAAATTAACCAAGCACAGCCTGCCAGTCTCTTCCACTTCGGTGTTGATGTGGCCTTACCTGGAACATAGTTTACAGCTCTGGGCTCCACAACATTAAGAAAAATGCTAGGGTCCTTGGAAGTGTCCAGAGGGCAGCAAAGCTGGTAGAACTGGAGGGATGTCTAGGGAGAAGGGGCTGAGACCACCTGGATTTATCTGGTCTGGAGAAAAGAAGGCCAAGACATGACCTTGCTACTCTATGCAGCTCCCTGAGAAAAAAAACAGAACAAAGGGCTGTTTTTCTACCCTGAAACCAATACCATGATGTACAGGAACAGCACAAAGCTGTACCAGGCCCAGGGGGACCTCAGGTGAGACATTAAGACAAATTTCTTTTACCGTGAGGGTGGTCAGACACTGGGACAGGCTTCGCAGCGAGGTGGTTGATGAACACTGCCAGGGTGAGGCAAGAGGCACCTGACAACATCCTGAAAACATGCTTTAACTTTTGGTTAGCCTCAGAGTGGTCAGGCAGATGACGAGCTTCGTAGGTGCCTTCTTGACTGGAGTACTTTACTTGCATAAACCATTTAAGATACCTGAACAAAACACCAGCAGCTGTCCTCCGTGTCTCAACTGGGACCAGTCTTCTCATGCTCCAAGAATCTTTCCAGCCTTTCTGCAACTATGGTAAAACTGTACAACATACATCATGGTTAACACTGTCTGCTCGTAGGTACAGTGGATTTTAGAGCTTTAATTTTTTCACCATTCACTCTGCCACCATTTTAGTAAGCACTATGAGTAGTGTCACATACTCTGTGAAGTTCAGTAGCTGTACTGCTGAAGTCTAATTCTACGGCCATTCAGAAATATCAGAACAATACAGGAAGCTTATGTGCCTTAGAATAGAGTACCAAAATCAATAACACAGGCATTAAATAGAAAGTGTTCAGAACCTACAGAAGACAGGGATACTCTGCTTTTCTACAAAAAATTAAAGGTTTTTTTTTAAAAAAAAAACAAAACAAAACAACACAACACACGCCTACAAGAAGGGCACGCAGCAGCTTCACAAAATGCATCTTTCAAGGCCTACACCAAATAAAAGCTACTGAAGTTCTTTACTGTCATGTAACCTTGACTGTTGTTAAACATCTTTCTCCACACACACCCCCTCCCACCCCCTTACAGCTACCATCATCCTTTCTGCCAGTTTTATGTTTGCTTCAGTTATAACAATTTAACAGTTTGTTCTCCAGGAGACTTTAGCCTTAACAGTCACATTACATTGCACATGCCCTTCAATGAAATGAATACCTGAAAAAAAAAAAACTTAGCTGGTACAACTCTTCCCTAGCTGTGTGAAGTACAGCACCTGGATGCACACACCTGAAGGCACACTGTGCAGTACTTTTGTCTTTTCTCACTTTCTGCCAAATCAGGTAAGATCATTTTTCTTCTAACGCAGTAAAGCTTTCAGCACTGTGATAACTGCTCTGGTTTCTTACAACTCCTTACTTCCCAGCTCTCTTCACATCTTTCTGCTTCACGTGCAAGAAAAAGATTTGTTAGTATATTACTAGTCTGGCTTCACAGGAGCTACACCTACTTCAGTTCCTATATATGTTAGTCAGGTTATGCAATTCTTTAATATCGGTCTGTTTTTAGATACATTAACTGATGTTTTACATTATCACCTTAATGCAAGGTTAGGTTAAAGTTAGAAAAAGAGTTAAGAGGTTCAAGCTGCCTGGCAGGTAAGTTGCAGTGGTTAACAGCTTGAAAACCTTAAGTCGATAGCAATTTGAATTTCTGATAGAAACAGTCAACAGATGGAAGATCAAAGTTTATTTTCTTTTACTACCAGCATACAAAAAAAACATATTGCACATCAAACAACCAAAACAAAAATAAAAATACTCTACTAAGGACTAACATATGTAGTTTATACAGAATAAACTTTCTGGAAATTGATCTTTTCAGTAGTTCAGGTTATGTCTTAATGGACATGACTAATTCAGCTTAGTGTTAACTAAAGCTATGTTTGATTTTTAAATACTGTACAGTTTAATAAATAAACCAAACAAAGCCTCAATGTAGAACAGTCACTGCCAATGTCACCCAGTATCCCTGCAGATTATGAGAATTTTAACAAATGTATTCCAGTGGTCTGCAGATTTTTCCTCTACATACAGCATTTAAAAAACATGTATTAAAACAGACCAGTTTCCAGACTAAACTAATGGAGAAATTACATTTCAGTGCAAAATATTTTAGACTGCATTTCTTTCTAGTATTCCTCAGGTGAAGAAGTGGTTGCATATTATTAAAAATGTAACAAAAGCAGCTAATGCTTTCATAAAGAGTATTATGTTAGGGATCCCCCTCACATCTTTGCCGTATTTTGAAAACAAAATAACATTTCCTATAGCCAGCAATTTTGTTTATTTAAATGTTACATATACTATCTCAAGGCACATCTGATGATATATTTATAACACAGTAGGTGTCAAAGTATGTTTAACATATGATTTCTTCAGGATCCCTCCCCTTTCTGTATTCCAAAATGGAGGAACTGAAAGTGCGGTGTCAAGACTGGCGATCCATATTCTATCTTTGGCAAGCTTATACAAGCACTATTTTAAATGTAATGTAGAAGAACTGTAAACTAGGAACTTCAGTTTATGAAACACCATTCAGCACTGCTTCTTCCTGATTATTTCCCTCCTCCTGAACAGTAACTTTCTTTTCGTCAGGGCTGTGCTGTAATTTAGAAGGCTCATCCACAGCAGGCGTAGCAGGACCATTCACTGCCTTTTCAGAAGGGCTATTTTCATCAATCGTGTCTTTTGTCTTAAAAACAAACACAAAAAAACACAACGTTAGAAGAATCAGTAAAACCGTTCACAGCATCCTAGTTTTTACCTCCTCACTTCTAGAATGCTTCTGTACTGGAAGCGTGTGAGAGAACCATGCCAGTTTTTGCAAGACAAAAAAGTAGTTAACAGATGAGTTTATACCCTTCTCAAAGTCCATAATAAGACAGGACTGTCTACCACAAACTAATGGACCTCACTTCATTCAATTCAACAATAACTAGTAGCAGTGAATTCAATGTCATCTTAGGAATAAAATATTTTGGTTTTGAATATTATTTTAATGACATATTTACACCACTTTGTTCCATTCAGAACATTTCAAATCCACAATTCCTGTACCGCCAACTCTTTCTGCAATAGTTCACACAGGTCACTAAACATCCTACCTCCCCTCCTCTATTATACGATGCTGTAAGGATCAGTTCTCAAGACTCATCCAGCGAGATGAGTGCTAATTTTCACATTTTATCATGTAATGCTACAGTAATAAATACAACACGTGCAGTCCTTTAAGCATTACAGTGATTACTGAACTCTGCGCTGATAATTCTACCAGTTAGTGCTCAGTTTTGTTTACTTGAACCAGTGTTACTTCTAATGATTTGTTCTTGAACTCAGAGCACTCAAATAAAATTTATCTAAATCAGGCATTCCTTTATTGTTTTCCTGCAAGGGAAGAGAAAAGGAAATGTATGTTCAAAATCCTCTTACCGCTTCTTTCTTGGTTTTGGCTAATGTCTCCTTCGGAGGGTTTCTCTGTCTACTCTGAGATTCAGCTCGTGATATATAATCAGCTACTGTTACTGTTCAAGGAAAAAAAAATTAGTGATGCTCATATTAGATATTTAACTTAGCATTAAAACTTCATACCCTTATTCTGCACAGTCACACTACCACTGGGAGCTACCTCACAAAAGGCCTTCACTCTTACAGGTTTTATCAACTACGCAGCAAGGATCAGTTATTTTATGTTAATAAGTAAAATTTTCACCAAAATCTGTGGTAGCCAGTGATGATCTGAAGGCAGGATCTTGAAATCCATCAACAAAATAATGTTTCTGTCCTGAGTGTAAATTTTATCTGAAAAGAAGGTATTTCTATACCTGGCTTCACAACATCAAGACTGCAGGCTCTTTATATCCATACACTTTTTTGATTGGGATTTTAACTATCTTAAGTAGTGATGAATTGCACACTAATAAAATGAATGCAGGTTAAAATACAAAATGAATTGGGGGAGGAGGTTCAGAGTATGTTATCACTTACGACAGAGCAGCATTAAAATTGTTGTTACTTCCATGAAGCAACTGACAAGAGAACTCACCCTCCTGGTACTCAAAAGGCAATCCACCTCCGGCTTGTGGGCAGGTGGGCAACTGCTGTGCGTACAGGCACTCGAGGTGGCTCTGTATGAGTGAGCCTGTACTCAAAAGCAGGACAGCCATGCTTGCACTGCTATGGCTACACTTACTGGATGCTGGCCAGGGGTTCTCTGACCTCCTTTCTTCTTACCACCTCAGCACATGTTCTTGTAGCTTGGTTTTGTCTTATCCTGCCCTCTCGTAACCACAACAATTGAGAGTCAATTCTATTTTTGGAATACACAGTACTACAAATTTAAATATACATTCATGTCTTTGATGAGCTAAAGCATATTAGAGTCGGCAAGCATTATCTACTAACATTACAGTCAACTGTATTTAGTATGCCATGCATTCAGGTGAACTATTTTCCTGGGTTTATCAATAACTGTAAGAATCCTGTATCAGCAGAGCAAGCGTAACAAGTTCTCTGGTACATTAACTAGGCTCTTAACTGGGTCCCCGTGTTATTGCTGAGACCAAGGGAGTTTCTGCACAAGAAGACTTCTCTAAGAGATGTTCTGTAACCGACTAATACGAAGAATATAAATTCTTAATCTCATATCTAAGTAGGAACCCAGGAACTACAGCAAAAATACAAACAAAAAAAACAAAACAAAACAAAACAAACCAACAAAACTACTAAATGACTGAAACATGCTCCTCATATTTAGGAGGAAAGAGTTCCTTCTCTCCATTTCATTCTCTACAGATGTAGTAAATATATGTGAAGATTAAGTTTGAGCATTTGTCACAAAGCATGTAACTACCAATGCTCTTATTGTCAGTTTCAAAAATATTTATTATTGAAATTGGAAGTGGTATTTTGAACAAAGAAATCAACAGGAAAAAAGCAAGAACTTTATGGGGATTTGGTTCTGTTCCTAGAATGCTTGCATTTAAAGAGAAATACTTCATATTTTGTAGAGATGCCAGTCATCCCTTCCACCCCTTTATAAACTTTGTCCCCGAACTACAGAATGCTGAGAAGTGTAACAGGGTACTTTTTATTCTCCTTAAGTTTTAATTATTGTAAAGCAACAGCCTTTTTTTTCCTTCTAAATCCAGTATCGTATGAGCACCACAGATAGACAGAAAACAGATGTGGGTGATGTTGTAATGTTTTGAGCCTGTCAATCTAGAAGACCTTCTGCTACTACCTTAAGGCACGCACGTACAAGTGTTTTCTGAGCAGGGCGTTCTACTGAAATGAGCTAGTTCACCTTTCACATCTCAAGTGTTAGTACACACAAAAGTGCAACAAGCCACAACAACAAAAACTGAAAACATGCAATTTCATTTAAATTCCTCCTCCGTCCCACCCTCAATTTGTGGATGATTTACAACGCTCACAAAAGCTGAAGACTGACAGCAGAAGTTTGGATCAAGCTCTGGACTGGCAGTTACCATGCAGGTTCCCTCGCAGAGCTCTGCCAGGGCACCCACAGCCTGCCATTCCACCTCTGCTCCTCAGCCAGTGCTGAAAAGGTTGTGTCACATTCAATGCAAGTGTGCAGACGCAAGTGAGTGCAGATCATGAACTTTCATTTATGTCTTGATCCTGGACTACTGAAGTCAACAGAAGACTGCCTATTGACTTCAATGAGAACTGGATCAGAAGCTTTAATTGTATTTCCAAGCAAAAAGTTAGACATTATAAATTAGTTCCATTAGACAGATTAAGAACTTTTAAAAGTTCTCCTAGTATAAGAAACATCTTTCATCTTTATCTAGTAGTCTTATTAGTTATTAACCTTTGTATATTAAGCAGCTATATGTAAAACAGCAGACACAACATTCTCTCATGCTTTTGACCTGAGAATACCCACAGCTTCACTCGAATTACCTGGCTGTCTATCTTCTGCCTGACCCCTGAAGCGACGCCTGCGGCTACGATTGCGTCGCTGGGGTTTTTTGTCACTATCATCTGCAATTGCAAAGTTTACCATGAACTATTTCTGATGAAAAAATATTCTTCAGCAGTTTCAGCATGGAGCATTTTAAATTGCTTCTGTTAAAAAAGACAGGCTAAGAAACAGGCTAAGTAAGACAGGCTGAAAGAACAACATATTTATATTGAAAGCATACACAATGAAGTAAAAGCTAGATTTTACTGTTTTGCTTCTGGCTCATGAAAACATTTAGGCATATGCTTAATGACCTCAGGTTTCATTTATTAAATAACCATATGTCAGATTTTAGCCACAACCACAAAATAAGTTTTCTTTTTCTACGCTATTAAACAACAAATTATATTCTCATCCCAATAAGTATCAAGGAGAATTTACTTAAGCAGAAACTGGGTAGAGATGAATTAACAGCCGCTTAAGCAGCTTTCCTACCCTGACACTGAGGTAACGGAGGACAGACAGAACGCTGATCTATAACAGCACCGTGTTTCTATGAAAACAGCAGTACAAACAGGAAACAAAGTTAGTCTTTGGTATCTCCATCAGATAGGTTTTACAAAAGAGGCATATGAAAGAGCATATGAATGTACTAATGGAGCTCAGTAAACAAGAGATTGCATGGCAGAGCCATGGAGGTAGAAGTCTTCCTTTAATCAGACAGCAACCTTTAACAGAACAATGACTCATCACTAATAGAAATGAACACTACACTTACATGGGTAACACTATTTTCTTACAAACTTGTTCTGGCTCTATCAACTAGCCGTTTACATACCTAAACCATTCTCATTAACAGAAGCTGTATCAGACTCTGTCATTCCATCCATTAGAACAGCATCTTCATCAGTCCTTCGCCTGCGTGACCTCCTGCGACGGTTGCTACTGTGGTGAGATTCACTGGCATCAGTATCCACAGTCTGGTCTGACTCTGTATTATCAAGTAAGCTGTAAGGGTTGCTGTCCGGATCTTTAAGCACTGAACAAACAAGAAGTTTTTATTTAAGATACTGAGTTAGACACATTTCATCTTCCCGACTGGCTTTTAATCTGCGGTTCCAAACATTAAGCAATCTTTACGACAAGGTATAAATGCTACAGTCTTGTGCATACTGGCTCCTCTCTGATGCTCTAATCCAACAATATATCCTCTGGGACATCACAGTGTGGTACTTACGTTCAAGCAAACATTTTAAAACCATTTTACTTAAAGGTGTTCACATGTAGAATGTACCTTTCACTTAATTAGCTTGATGGTAATGCTGACAATACTGAAGTGTTGCGAATTACTGTTTTATCAGAATTTGACTGTGCTAACTTTTATTCTTTCATTTCTTTTATCCTGTATCTAAAAGAAAAGCTTAACTCAAAAGGCAAACACTGGTGGCATGGCAAATATCTGTAACATTTAGTGACGTCATTAACAGCTGCCTATAGCAGAGGAAGGAAACGAGTATCAGTACGAGCAGAAGATGCTGAACAGAAATCTAATGACAGCGCATGATAAAAATATCACAGAGCTTCACTGAAATACCAGTGTACTAAGATTACAGAGTAAAAAGGGAATGTTCAGAAGCACTGAAAGGAGAGAGAAAATGGCAAGGAACAAAAACCAAAACGCATCTGAGATGCAGTACCAGAGCTAATGGATGACTTGCCACCACGAGGTCCGCCACGTCCACGGCCTCCAGACACACTGCGTCCTCGTCCTCCAGGACGTCGTCTATTGTCACGCTGATGTCTGCTTTCTCTGTCATCTTCTCCTGCCAGGGACCAGTCACTAAGTTCATCTTTTCTCTCAGATTCTGTTTCAGAGGGATTAGAGAGCTCAGAGTTTGTACCTTGTACAAGAAGGAAAAGAAAATGGGAAGTGAATATGAAACTTGGGATCGTATTCTGGTTTCAGATTCTCAACCAGCAGGCCTAGTTGTGAATATTTTATAGATACATACAAAAATACACAAATTCAAAATAAACTATATAAAAAGATGCAAGTTTATAAATAAATAAAAACGCTTAAATGTCCACATATACACCATACATACAGCTAAACTACCTAAGTATTATGCTTCTTTTGCTTGCAGTAAGATGAGAAATAAGGGCTCAAAAATTACTCAAATGGCAATTTATGCACATGGATAAATCAAGGACTGAATGCTATTTGCTGTGCATACACTGCAGGCATTTGATGCAGTTTCTAGGCAACTTCTCTGAAATTCCCAAGGACAACTTCACCACCTTACAGCTAATGGCTGTTGCTAAGCAACCCCTTCTGGCTGCAGTAATGCTGCTTCAATTTAGCTGTTTATACTAAATACTGCTTATAACTTCCCTTTGTTTCTGAGCTAACCAAACCTACACAGTTTTTTATTGCTAAGAAATTAAACACCTACCATTTATTTTAAGCATCCAGGAACTCTCCCTACTAACAATTTTGGAATAAAGATATCCATACTCCTATGGCTCTATCATACAATTCTTGCTGTTTTACAGCAAAAAAACAAAAACAAAAACAAAACAACACCAACCAACAACAACGAAACACACATTGCCAAACAGAAGTCTGAACGCTGCGTGCATATAAACAACCTGAACCTCAACTACATTTATCCAAACAATCCACCAGGGAAGAGTAAATAACTAAGCATTACCATCAGAACTAACCTGTCTAACATGCCACGACCAGCCGGGATGATCTGTGTCTGACCGTGCAATGCAAAGAACTGGTTTGATTTTGTAACAGGACTGAGCTGCACACAGATCAAGAGCAATTTATAATGTATTCACTGAGTAATTTTTTCCCCTTCTGTTCACTGCACACTGTATTTTTGTGAAATATGCCCATGTTCAGGTTCTTCAAATGACCACAATCACAGATAAGTTGTGGGTTTTTTTTTTGTTTTGGATCACAGCTACTACCATTGGAGGGCAAGATCTTACCCAACTTCACTCTACTCATCTCTTCCAGTTTAACATTTAAATTCAGCAAAAATGCAACTCCAAGCAGGTTTTCTGAGCTATGCAAAAAAAAACAAACAGCAACTCTGAATTTTCAACTCTACTTTTACTCAACTATTCAACACACAAAGAAACCTAAAAAGAAGTGATGAAATCAAAAGCACACTGAGGATTCACTCAATAGCTGCTCTGAAGATAATACCAAACTAGCTTACCGTAACCAGATGTGTAACTGGGGCCTCTGCGGCCTCTCCCTCTTCCACTGTACGATCTGGAACCTTGCACTGAGGAGAGGGTGCTCTCATCAGTTGTGTAACCCTTTTCTTTTTCGGGAACTCTAGCAGAGGAAGGTCTGAAACCCATACCAATCTGACGCAGTTGTTCATCGATTTGGAGCCTTTCCAGCCTTAGTTGTTCTACCTCCTACACAAATGGAAACAAAACATTTCAGAGGAAGAAATGTTACTTCTCCCCATAAAATACCACTGTCCCTTCATCTACATTCTAAATCACTACATTTAAAGACTGTTTATAAGACAAGTATTACCCTTCTTAACTATGCTTCACCTCACTTTTTCGAGTCAACTTTCAAAAGCAAACCAATATAACCCGATTCAAACTAAGGAATTATTTTGCTAACAATCACACCACAACTCCACACAAACAAAACTATTTAAAGTGGTTGAGTGTTTCTGTGCTACTCAGTTACAAACTCCATCCTAGACCAGCACAGCAGTACAACAGAACACTGTACAGAACACTGATGTGGAGGAAGCCATCACATACTACTTGTCCTGTGCCACTTAAGGCAGTGCTCTCTGCAGTTCGGTTCTTTCAGCACCGGCAGTAAGCAGCAGCCACAATCATGCTTTAAAAGGCCTAAGTAACACACGTAAGGGGAGGCTTCTGAGCACCGAACCTCAAATCCCAGTCAACAGAAAAACAGCCAACCAGATGCAAACCCTTCTAAAGCTGTTACTCAGATATACTCCAATAGAAGTTTCCTCTACACCTTTTTTCCCCCCCTTCTGAAGTACACTTACCTTCAGATATGCAATGTGGTATTCTAGAAGAACCTGGACATTTCCAATGCTTTCTTTAGTACCCACAAATACAAATGGTACCATTCCCTACAGAAACAAAGCACAAAATCTTGCTTTCAAAAAGAACATTATCATCAAAATACTTTCTGCTTAATTTATAAAAGCAATCTGAACGCTAACCGAATCTCACGCAGCAAATACACAGGAGAAGCAGCTCACAGATTGGGATAAGGGCTTATCCAGTAAGACTTCAGACTGCCCATAGTGTTCCCAACATCCCATTCTACCAGCTGAAGTAATTCGACATACAGTTTCTACGTACCACTGACTGGTTGCCCCTGCAACACAACTGCTACACGTTTCTGTCACAGCAGCTGTGTATAGAGGCATCCACAGATTCCTGACAAATGCCCAGTGGTTAATTACACCAACTTGACAAGATGAAGCACCTTTAGACTCTTTTATGCTATGTTCTCATATATTTAAAATATATCAACCCCAAATTAGCGTTTCCAGTGTTGACAGCTACACAACTACGTTGTACACAGGAGATGAGTTTTTGCTCCTGAAGCAAGTATTTTTCTCAAGCTGTTTCATACAAGATTTACTGCACAATGCCATTTTGAAAAAGACCTAAAAACCAATTTCTACAGCCATAAAAAGCTTTAAGATGGGCTTTGTTAAACAATCCATACGCACAGCCCTAGCACAGAGGCCATGGTTTCTTAAAATGAACATCACCACTACAGGTCGGCCATGAAAAACAAGGATGCATAGGCCATGAAGTCTATAGATATAAACTGAATAATGACAGTGAGATGGAACAATAATCCCACTCTCATGCAGAAAGGCAGCACCTCACTCCAGAAATTTTCACTCCCTGCACATCTTCTGGTGTTTTCTTTGTTACAGGATTCAAAATAAAAACGCAATTGTAAGAAGAAATAAAGTACTCACGTCTTCACGAGGCAGTTTATTTTCATTATCTCCTTCAATCCTCACCCTGACGACTCCAGACTTGTCTACAATCTCCTGAATCACTTTTCCATTTTTTCCAATAACTTTTCCTTCAGAGCAAGAAGAGTTATTTTAGACCAAAGACCAAAACATTTTGAACAGGTTTTTACGTACGGAGAAGTGCATCACTTCCCTCCCCTCTGCCTTCTACTTCTTCCCCCCAGGATTTTTTCCATGTCATACACATAAATGAAAACCATGCCCAAACAGGACAAAACTTCAGAAGTTATATTCAAACAGCATGCACACACACAACAGCAAGCACTGACCAAAATCAGCACCACATACAAGTTTCAAACAGAACCAGAGTAGCAATGAAACAGCAGAACTCTTGAAAATGCGTATTACAACTTATTTATCCAAATTATTTCATCATGCTCTCCCCTCTAGTGAGCGATGACCTCAGTATTGTCCTGAGTCATTTTTGCAACTCAGATATGGCATTTCCAGACTACATTTTGGAATTTACTACCAGAATATCTACGCAGTTAATTTATCAAATAATTTGTTTGCACTGCTAGAACCTGAGCTTCAAACATTGCCATTAAAGCAGACTGTACAAGCCTGAAAGAGCTATGCTTAAAACATTTCAAGAGTTAAAATAACATGCAGATTCTGGATAATTCCCTGATGCACAAAATTTTCAAAGATGAATCACTTTCTATATAAATGGAAAGCCCAACAGGGCACTTGCACCTAGAGCTTTATGCACAGCCACGCTGAGTGCACTTCCTTTCTACAGGTTATGAAGCACTACATACCAACAAGATTCCTGGGAACCTGAATAAAGTCCTCCACAAATTCCAAGAAACTTCTGGCTTTTTTTACTGCATCGGCAGTCTGAAAATAAAAAAAAGTAAAAAATAAATAGTAGCAATAATAATAATAGTAATGCAGTACGTTTAAAAACAAAACCCTGTAGCGACATCCATATGTCTCCAGAAGAGTAAACATTTTAAAAAACAAAATGAGCGTGGTTCTGGCCTCAGCCACAAACTTTCTAAGACATTACTCCATCACTGAATTGTGGAAGGAATTTCTACCATTACTCCCTTAAAATTTCAGTATGAAATAATGGAAATTAAGTGACAATAAATTTCTAGAGGTCCTACCGTTACTGCAAGAAGAAAAAAACAACACAAAGTTACCAACAGTGAAAGCACAGCCAGCATCTAGTCAGCAATGACAACATTTGAGACACTGATGTTTCGACCTTTCACCTGCTATCCCTTCTGCAACCCAGCAGGCAGATGCCACCAGCCCCTGAATCTTTACATTAAATTTAACCAAGTCCTAGAGGGATGTAACATCCACAAACCTACAATTCTGGCACAGTTAAAAATGCTAAAGGAAAGAACCATGGGCAATGTGGATTTCAAGATGAAAGCAATGAAGCATGCAAGAAGAGATAAACAGGAAGTAGCTGCAGGAAGCAGGGCTATTTGCATGCTCACAGTAACAGACACGACCAACATCAACACGCAGTTGCAATTTCACGTTCAGTGAGCTCTACAAGGAGGACACGACTGACAGCTCTGCGCCCTGCCTCAGAGGCACGATTATCGCTTCTTTCCCAAATAGAGAAGAAGGTCAGTGACTGCTGTCACACCAACAGCCACAATGAGGAAAAAAGCTGCAAGGACACCCAGAGCGTATCTATGCTTCAGTGCAAGCACTTGGAACTTTTAATGCAAGTCCAACCTGTGTGACTCATTCACACCCCAACATGACACAGCACAGAACACTGACTCGGATACGTCCTTGCAGCCAGTAATTCAGAACAGGAAAACAGCCACCATACACACACCTCCCAGAATTCCAGTCAGCACAAACTATCTTTTCACTTCCAGGTAGGGAACATATGCCTGCTCCTGCTTGCTTACTCCATACAGTCCCCCATACAATCAAGACACATCCAGGTCACTTGTAAAGTATGTAACAGAAAGATTAAAAGCAGGATGTTCTCCTAAATCCAGGGTTATTCCTACTATTTCTGAAGCATCAAGGTTCCACACCGAAGTGTGAAATAAGGATTGCATGGCTGCAGATTTCAAGGCAAATGTTCTTTAACACAGCCGCCAATACAGATACAGCAGATAGACTCTCACATTTATTATAAACGGTGGAGCCACCTCAGGAGCTTCATAATCATTCACAATCAATCAAGAGCAGGGTTGAGAACCCTCTCCAGAGTCACAGCAGCTCTTTCAAACCTTTCTGAACAGGAAAAATTACCTCTTTGATCATTTGAGAAGCCCAGTCCCACGCAGATAAATGCTTCCCTAAGTAACAGCAAGGAACTATGTTTTTTCTGTTGTGATGAATTTGCTTTTTTTTTTCCTTTCCCCAAAAATATAAAATAAGCAGCATGTTACCCTACTTTAAATGGAACAGAGTTAATGAAGTGGTCCTAAAGAACAGCCTGCTCTCTAAATGGAAAACAACAACTAAGTCTCCTGGAAAAATCTTGCTATCCTTCCATCCAAAGGCATCGTTAATGTAATACCTAAGTACCTTAAAATAGGTACAACAGGGAAGAACCTCAAGAACTGCACATGCAATTCCATTTCACCAGTAAGGAAGCTCTAACAGAAAGCTCTCTGTTTCAGATGAGGCTCTCTCCCTCTGAGGAACCAAATTATTTCAGAAGATAACCCTAGTCACTACCAAAGCTCTTAAGTTCACAGTACTGTGGTTTCTGAGTACCACAAGAGAGATGCTCAGTCAGAAGGGGGAGGGCCTCGGAATCAAAGTGGTTTTGATTACACAGGCAAAAATCATAAACAATCCTATACAGCTTAATTTCTGATTTTGTAGCTTCCCAATATTCTTCAAAATGCATCTCCTGGATCTTCCCTCAAAGATTCTGGCTCTGATAAACCTCACTGCAAAATATAATCATGGGAGATTCTCAGACTCTATGACGTCAAGGATAAGGGGTCACTTCTCCCACACGTCTGAGTGCAAAACAGCCTGCCCATGCACCAGGCATTAGCGCCTGGCTGCTTGCCAGCACCAGCAGAATAGAGACAAAAAGCAGACAAGTATGTACAGATGCAAGAGCCTTAGTAACATGGAGTCTTTGGGCTGCCAGGGAAGGACAAAGCTGGTGCTGACAACAAGGCATCTGCGAGATTTAAAGCACATCAGGTAAGACACATTCACAAATGGAATCCAACTCAGGACAAACCAGCAGACTCCATCTAATCCATCATTAACTGGCCAAAATAAAACCAGCATTAAATGGCCAAGTTACAAAGAGGCCGATAAACGCCTAAATGTATTTGGCTCAGCTAGAGGACAGACACCACACAGATTAAATAAACACACATGAACTAGCAGGCTGACGGCAGGGGGAGGGCACTAACAAGAGCAGCAGAGGAAGCCAAAAAAATAGAAATTCCATCAACTAAGATAGCAGTCAACAATACCTCGCTCGGGCTGACTGACATACATGGTGCAGCTACCCTGCATCTGTGCAACAGCACCTGGACTGATTAGGACAGAACGCATCTAATGGAAACCAACAATGCAACAAAGTCTTGTATTTCACCTACATGCAGCACGAGCTGCCACAGTGCAATGTGCACATGGATATCCAAATGCATACTGAGCAATTTCCAGTTTAGCTCTGTGTAAAGCTCTCACCACTCTGAAAGCAGACAGTGAGCACCAGACTCACACAGGGGCTCTCCCTTACCTCGCCATAGATTCTGAAAGTACCGGTGTCCTCCTCAAGTTCAATTGCAGTAACTCCTGGAACCTTCCTGGCTTGCTGTATGTTACTGCCGTGGGTTCCTATAGCAAGTCCCATTAAATCTTCTCTGACTACAAATTCCTCATGAAATGCTGCTGCAAGCTGCTTTGTGCACTGAAGGAAAAAAAAAAATAAGGCTCATGTGCATGTCTTCAACATGAAGTACCACTTCCAGCAACAAAAACTTCAAGCTATTGCTTACTTCTAAGTGTTTTGTAGCTTCTTCATTTCTTGACATAAGCATAAGTTTGGTGCGAATGCTGCGCAAATGCATGTCACTCAGTATGTTCACTCTCTTCACTGTTGCTTCACTGGCAGACTGCAGAAAAGAAAAAGGACATTATGTTTCATTTTTTAGGGAAAGTCACATTCAAAGGATAAGTTAAGAACCTGCTTATTTAAATAAATTATAAACATGAACCGCATTTCCAGTACTTAGGTGGTCATTTTTCTTCCACAAAACAATGAAAAATTCAGCACTATCTTTACCAAGCCAGCAATTTTCTGTTCCAACTCACGTTATGCTTAACACCAGAAGTCTTGCTATCACCTATGAAGTAGTTCCCTCCCTTTGATGTTCCAAACCGAACTAAATATTATTCTACCATATTATACTCATTGACTCCCTAGTCTGATTCAAGTGGATGCGATTAAGTAAGCAGAAAAATGCAGAGAAACTGTTATGAAAAGTCTATGTAGTAAAACAAAGCAATCTCAGAAGAATCTAAGTGAACAATTTCTTAATGGCTTCCTTTCGTAAAGAAATTTCACATTTGAAAAGGCCAACTAAGCTGTTTTTGCAAAAGCTCCTTTAGGCTACATAGTATCAAGCGTGGCCCCTCCCTATGATTCGGGCTCTGTGCTCCCTGATAATCCGCACTACCCACCTGCCAGTCCACACCCAGGCTACTGTGTAATGCGAGCTGATGCAGCTCTTCATGTGGAAACCCACTTGTGGGTCAAAGCACAAAGTGTAACGCTGCACAAGTGGAACCTACTGCTCTCGAGCAGAGTAAGCTAGCCAGCTCTGAACAATCCACACCAGCCTCTGAAACAGCTCTCAGTCTGTTATGATTGTCATCCTATCTGAGAGCTGTTCCTAAATTTAGGCTATCTGCAGTGCAGTACTTACAATCCCCTCCAAAGGCCTGCCCCCATAGATCTAGACATCTGCAAGTATTAAACTGCTCACAGCTTCCAGAGCTCGTGAAGTTAGACTGCAATCCACAGAAATGTAAGATGGCTACAGAACTACCACAAATTATGTAACCAAATTCATGCAACATTCACACAAAAATAGTTACTTACAAGTATTATTAGCTGAGCAGTTTCAGCATGATAGAAAATTCTACACGCTCCCACAGCTTTCTTGAAATCTTTGTGTGCATTTTCATTAGCGCATCTACAGAGATAAATGTCTTATTTTAAGAAGTTGCATCAGAAAGAAAGGAAAATAATAGAATGACTCAGGTTGGAAGGGGCCTTGAAGATCATGCAGTTCCATTCCCTCAGCCATGGCAGTGATGCCACCCACTGGACCCAACCAGGCTGCCTGTGGCCTCACCCAGCCTGGCCTTTAACACCTCCAGGGATGGGGCACCTCCACAGCTCTGGGAAGCTCCAATCAGTGCCCGCTGAGTAAAGAATTTCCTCCCAGCACCTAACCTAAATCTCCCATCTTTTAGTCTAAAAGCATTTCCCCTTGCCCATGTAATAACACAACCAGATCCCAGAATGTTTCACTACTTCATAGTGGAGAAAGTTCAGAAATTGGAAAATTCTCTCTTTCCATGCTTCCAGAGCTTATTTCTCCACAGGCTGTACCACCACAGCTATGAGGCATCTCTAAGAACCAGAGACATGCTGTGAGTTCATCAGCTAAATCATCCTGCAGCAAGACCTGAAGATCCCACCTGATACCTGCTTTCTGTCCATAGCCCAAACCCCCAGCAGAGATCCCAGCCAGTAGATCCTAACTCAGCTTCAGCAGTCACAGCCACCCTTATAACTCCTAATGAGACCCTCAAAAATACCCCCCCCACACTCTCAAATTCTTCTCATTAAATGAATTGCCTTATTAGTAAAATACGCGTAACTACTCACGCATCTCTCAGATCTTCAGGAACATCCACTGTGCACTTGAAAAACGTGTTCTTTTTGACAGTTTTATTTTGATTCACAGGTCGGAGCCTCTCGTAAGTCACGATTTCATTGTAGGTGGCATCACAAGCAGCATACTCAATGACATAAAACTATGGAAGAATGTTTGTCCAAATGGTAACTTCAGTCAGCAACGACAAATACATACTAACCAATCAAACAAAAACACAAACACACAGGCCAAGATTTCCCCCAGAACACCTGATTCCATCAAAAAAAAAAAAAAAAAAAAAAAAAAAGAAAAAAGACTCAATTCCAGGAAAGAGTACATTGCTGATGTAACAACGTGCTTTTCCACACACTGCTTCCCTGTTTAAAGTTTTAAATTTGGCACACCTTTACAAAGTAACTGATTTGACAATGGTATAGAAGTAGCAGCCTTCTGAGGATGAAAAAAAAAATCTTTTATTCCTGTTGAAAGTAATTAAGAATTCAGTAGAACTTCACACCTGTCATTACTTAACTGAGACCACACAGATTAAGAATGTTGTTTTTTATAAATTTAGAAGTCAAAGTTTCTAACCAACCAATGTAGCAAGGTACCAGACAGCAAAAATCCTAATCTCTGTGGCATACAAGAACTCAAGTTAGCTCCAAATGAAGAACACTATCATTTCAATCAGCTGAAATGAAAAATATACTTGTCTGAACCTACAATTTGTCTGAATCTGAATTTGCTGGTACAATCATAAAAGCCAGCAGTAAAACACAAGCTCTGCACGTGCCAAAAACCAACAACTTTTTCTACTACACTCAAGTGACATGTATGTACAAACAGAACCACCAACACACACTTGTAGATAAAGAGTGCTTGATTACCAGAATTAGATTTGTGGTATAAACGGTAACCATAACCACAAATAAGGTGCACTACTTTATTACTTCTTAGAGCCAACTTCAATTCACTAAGTAGAATTTTTGGAAGCCATATGCTGCACGCATGCATACAGACCTCCATGCTCTTTGATTACTAATAATCAGATTGTGCTGCTCAGCTACAAGCAACTGCTCAGCCCAGTTGCTGTAACACAGCACGGGTCATTCCAAAGCAGTCTCAGCTCAAAAATCTGTTCTGCCATATTTGTGTACTGGTAGTTGATTCATCTCTTTGCATCACAAAGAACTTCCGTATTCACTGTATCTAACAAAGCAGCATGAAAGCAGCAGGAAGGATTTACCTCTCCTTTCATCATTCGAACTTTTGCCAGCCACCAGCCACAAGGCTCTTGATCATTTGCTCTAGAATAAACCTGAAAACAAGAGCAGATTAACAAATGAAACAACTACATTTAAAGCACACACAGACATAATTGAGTTGCCTACATTTACAATCAGGAAAGAGCATCTCAACTTCTCTAGCTCTTATTACAATGGAACAGTACACTGCTCAGAAATATTTTTTGCCTTTGTTATTATTGTTATGTGCTTCTTTCACAAGCTTCATTACTTTGCCCTGCAAGGATTACGGACAGATTTCCTTTCTATATTTCACTGACTATACAACAGAAATTGCTGGAGATAAAACCTTGAGAAAACACTTATTCAGTGGTAATTCCTCACTGAATTTAAAAACTGTCTTAACACCAAAGGTTCCTATACAGAAGGAGCTCCAAAATTAAGGTTTCATTTTGCCTTTGGTTTACTTGATAAACTTAGGACTACATCACATATGATTATGTACTTTGTATTTAACAAACACCACTAACAATACAAGATCAAATACAGAACCAATGATATCTGAAGCTTTCTGTTTTTCCTGGTCTTCTAACTATTTGTATGCAGACTAAACAAGAAATTTAAGTTAATTGAAGAAATCTGAGGTAAAAAATGCCTTAAATTAACCTCTGATAAAGCCAAAGTATTCCATATATTTCAAATAAAAACAGAAAAACTGAGCACATCTCTGTTGAAGTTTCACATCAAAATATTTCCAGCAGTTTTCATGAGCACCGAGAATTAGCAAGTTAGGTTTTTATCTTGTAAAATACAGAGCTTTGTTTCAAATTTTAGATGATAATCAAGTTCCACTGGTAATTTTCTGAGGGAAAAAAGAGACCCTGTAATTTCAGGCAGTTTCTCCGGAAGCAAAATCTGCTGTATTTTGAAGTGCTAAGAAAAAATTAAGTTTTTTATTTACCAGCTTAATAAATCCATTCCTAGAAACACAGTCCTTTTCCATTCTTCACTAATCTACTTACAGCCACCACCATCTCGAAGATACAACCAGTTATGTGACACAACAGCTCATTAGCAAACATCTGGATCAACTCACCTCCACTTCATCTCCTTCACCAATTTCCTTCTTGATATCAGGAGGTGGAGGTAATCTGACTTCATTAAAGGGTACTTGGCGCTCTGGCTGCCAACTGAAAGTTGAAGAGACATTACACATTAGTGCCAGGATTTTTCTCTTGTTTTCTTAAGGTCTTCATTTTTAGAACTCCGAGTTAACTCTCACTCATTTCACACAATCAGTTCTGCTTCTTCATTCCTAGAAAGCAAACTTAATAAGCGAAGTATTGAAACAACCCTGTCAAAACAAAAGACACATCTGGGAAGATATTCAGTAACAGAACACATCTTCAGTAAACTTCAGAAGAAAGTTCAATGGACTGCCTCCACTGAACCGATTTTATTAACCCTCCATGAGAAGGTCAGATGACATACTGAAATCTGCACTGCTCAATGAAAGCCTTGTTAACATGTGAATTCATCCTTGTGGTCCACCTTGGGTTTGTCCATTTCTTCAGCATTTTAGCAATGACAATTTCATTGGCACACAGCATTACAATTGCTTCCTATCAATTTTTAAGCAGGAAAATCCAACTGTGTTTCCTAATAAAACTTTGGAATTTTATCTACAACTATTTGAAACAAATGGTTTCATTCTCCAGTGGGAGCCTACGGAACAGATTCATTTCAAAACACATCTCTACATCTGCTTACTAATACTGATTACTACTATGCATGTTAAATTAATAAGCTACCTTCTTGTACAAGAAAGGCTATTTGTTTTTCTGTAGCTGGTTCTGCAAGGCTTCTTAATATATTATGCACATTTCAGGTGCATTACATGAAGACTTGTAGAATAACTGACACCCTCTGTATTCTTTTATAATTTCCTTCTCTGTAAATCTCACAGGAAGCCATGAAGCTGTTCCTCATTCTTTTACTCAAAATGCCAACTGAAGATGGATTAAAATAAAGCCAGCACTACCACCAAAAATAACAATTAGAAAACCCTACAAGATCCAAGGGACTTGGACATGGTATCTGTCCAAGTATTCAACATCTATCATTCTGAACATCCTCAAGACCACATCAGGTACAGACAGACCAACACAACAGAAGGGGTCATGGAGTTTTGCCCTAGCCATGGCTACACGGTTCATTTTTCTTCCATCTACAGGGTAATTTTGAAAAATCACCACCAATAACACAAGGAACATTGTGGATAGCTTTTGTTGAAGCTGGAAAGTATTTTTGTCATGAAGTGTAGCTTAAATCTCATTTTACCTCTGAAAAACAGTAGAGGAGGTTGGAAAAAAAACCACTTGAGATTTAAACATGCTTATAACTGCAATGGTCACTAACCTCAGGATCTGTGTATTGTCTCTTTCTTTCCTCCCTTCCTCAAGTTATTATTCTCACAGATACAAAGGCAAATAGGAAGAGTTGAGAACAAAATGCATTCCCTTGATTACAAGCTGTGTAAAAGCTCAATTTGGAAATAGTTGGAACACAGTGATCATAACTGAACAAGATACAAACTGCTGTCAACAACTGAGCTGCTTAAAGCTCTCTTGAGAGTTTCAACTGTGCACTGCAGGTTATGAATCCAGCTCACAGGAAGTTACAGACTGCCCACAGTGAGATGCAACAGTAGAAGAGACCTCGCCACTCCAAGAAAATCTTTGAACTGCACGCAGTAGTCTATCCTTGCTTCCATCTCTGGAGGATCTTCATCTACTGTAAGGAGACAGTACAGTAATGACTCACCCATTTCAGCCATAAGGTATTTTGGTATTTTTTGAAAAAACAGGGAGAAATATGCACAGAAGGCTCATTTCTGAGAATATGACTTGATAATTATTGGTAAAAGCTATAAAAAAATTGAAGTATTTCTTACTATACAGAAGTCTTCTGATTATGGCTGCTTCAAATTCTAATGGACCTACAAAGAATTGCATCTAGAACCTCACCTGTACACCACAACAACGGCTCCCAGCTCCAGAGGACTTTGAGTTTATTCTCTGCCTCTTTACTTCTCCAAAACGCCTCCTAATGGACTTGCTATCTGCCCACAGATTAATTATTGCTGTGGCCACAAAATCACCACTGGCAGTTGGTGCTAGTTCACCAACTTCGGGAACCTTGTAATAGCTATAGATTAGGACTGGTAAACAATAGCAAAAAACGTAAACTGAATGTCATTAACAGACTCACTTACTTTGCTAAGTGCTGCTCATTATCACAACAGAAGAATGCATTCTGGATGGTACCCTCCTGCCAACTTCAATACGATTAAAGCCCTTATGAATTTAACTCAATAAAAAGGGTAATAATTTATCGGTCTTGCATCATGGCACAAATAGAGTAGTACACATACTTCCTGATAAGGTCTATTTTTGGGCAACAAAGCACTCCACGTATGTTGTAGCTCACCCTTTTCAGAACGAAGCTGCTGCTGCCACACATTCAGTAAAACAGGTTGATGACACAGATATAAACCAGCAGAAGTGTGTTTGCCAATAATTAAACAGCTGCTGTGAACCACAGGCACTTCCTTTAGCTCACTTGGCTCATGGTGTGAAAGCATGTGCCTTCAAGGCTAAGAACATCTACTCTTACAGAAAAGTAACATGGATGTTGAATGTGAAAATGAAGATTAACAAGAGGAGGATGAAGAAGCAGATCTGTGTGATTCTTTGGAGGATGGTGAGGACAGAGGAGTAGTGGGGTGATATGAAAACCAAAGAGACACGAAGAGCTCCCATAACCACCCAGGAAGTGCTAGCTATGGCTGCCACTTCTAACTGATTTTTATGGAAGGGCTAGAAAACAGGTTAGAAAGACAGACTGAATTTGCAGAGTAAAAAAAACAGGATTATCTTTTTCTCCCCAGGATTTTCTTCATGCATGCACTACACATACATACATCCCAGGATTACATAAACCATTCATATAGTATTGCGTGTACATACATGCAGGCTTCCCACTATTAGGCTTCTTACTCCCTCATCTTCCTTCTGGAAAGGCTGACCGATGAACCTGCAGGCTGGTGCTGGCAGCTTAGAAACCATTTGCACATCAAAAGCTGATGCATTTCCCAATGTTGATTTTTTATGTGTATATTATACACACACACACACACACACACACACACACACATATATAGAGTGGTATGGTTAGGCTGTGGTTGAACTCAATGGATCTTTAAGGTCTTTTCCAACCGGAGCAATTCTATGCATTCTATTCTGTACTAGTTAAAAAAGTCACTCCATCAGGATATTTGTATCGTTTTTTCGGGTTGATGAAGCTGATTGCACTCCCAGGTCAGACACAGAAAGAACTGCTCAGGAAGAGCTACTCAGGTATTTTCCACCTTTCTTTGCTGCAGGTGTAAGAATATCAGGCAGCTGCCACTACTTTCTAATTACATCTGTCCACTACATCTGCAGGCATTACTAAAATATTAAAACAAAAAGCCAAGGAGTGCTAATTGACTGTGTGACTTCTGACCACAGCTATTTAAGGAATCAGTTCATGGAAATGGAATACAACACTGAGCCTGTATTTCTAGAACTACCTTTCTAATGAAGTCTACTTCCCCTTCATGTCAAAACAAACACAACAATGCACAAACGATTTTTAAGATAAAATACTTACTTGTTTTCAAACACAACAGTGAGTGAATCCTCATGAACATCTTTGATAAATCCCTAAAACAAAAACAGTTTTGTTGTAAGACATGGAATCACAGCAAGGCAGCAGTTTCAGCACAGCCTGAAACCACCCCAGAACACCTCTGCTGTTACTATCTGAATGTAGGAAAGTTCCCAGGCAATCCCACTGCATGGATGAGGCTGCTCTAAGAAATACGTTGCACGTGGACTATTGAAAGCAACTTTTCATACAGACACATTTACAACTGAAATCCTGCCTTCAAAGTTTATTGTTCTCTTTACAGGCATACACAGCTACTTTACGCAAGCAAAATGAGAAAGCTGCAGTCCCAGGGCAAGGAGTCCAACTCAAAATACTGTCCAACAGCTGTGAGCAGCACCACTTGCTTTTTCAGGTGTTCTTCTCAAACAACCAAAAAAAAAAAAAAAAAAAAAAAAAAAAAAAAAAAAAAAGTCCCAAACAATTGTCCTTCAGAATAGCACAATCTGAAGGATGGATAACATTTGGCAATAAAGGCTGTTATGTGGCTACTTAACTATGTCATCCTTCAAACACAGGAGTGGGAACAGTGTGCAGTCAAATCCCCAAAGCACCTCACAGCAGAGCAAAGATAATAGGATGTTACACGTCATTTTGTGTGACATTTTTATGATCTTGGGAACAACTGCAGCAAAAGCCCATTTTTCTTCCCTTTGAAAAACGAAGGGCTTTTTAGCGGTGCACTGATTATGTCAAAAACCTGAAGACAAAGAACAACCTGATGGAAAAAATTATACCCAAGCAAAAATTAAGGCCTCCCATCTCATAGTTAAGAGAGGAAGGCAAACTGCAAACACAAAGGAACAAAAGAAAAGCAGAAGACAAAAAATAACAAAGTAAGAAAATGTTTTCCAATGACTCCTGTGTTTGTTATAGCCTGGTATGTGCCCAAAAAAGAAGACCAAGAAGGAACACGCATTTTCAGATGAGAAGACAGTTCCAAAGGATCCTTATGAAAGGCTCCAGGAAACCTGCTGGATGGATGAAGTTGCCTTCACAAACTGCCAGTCGAGGAGGTCTAAGCACAGCGTCAGCTGTGCGAGGAGTACAGCACCCCCAGAGGTGTCACAGGTCAGCTCAGCAAAAGGCACCTCACCATGGGCTCCCCATGCCTGACAGATGCTGCACGAGCCCGCAGTGACAGCTGGCTGCAAGGGGCTGTAGGAATGAGTCTCCTTGGACTCAAACCTGTACTTGTGCAACACCAGCAAAGGGCAGCATTCACTTGAAATCTGAGTACCCGCTCCCTAAGCAACGCTCACAAGACACCTGCCAGCAGTGCAAGGAAGCGGTTATAGCACAAACAGCTGGGTCAATCCTGAACACAGCAGGCCATCAGAAACCAAAGTCACCTTGTTCAACCACCTAGTGTGCTCCTAATGAAATAAACCCTTTTAGAGGCCACCCTGCCTCTGCCAGGGAAGGAAGGCAAAGCCCTTTGAGACGGAAGCAACAGAGGCAGTTGGCAGCAAAGCACGTGTGCACACAGGGATTTGCAGTTCCCCTGAAGTCTCTGTACAGGAAGACTGAAGCCACACCTGCTTCATGAGGCAAGGAACATGAAGGGCATACAACATGTTACTGGTCGAACTATCTGTTAGCTAGCAACATCCGTAAATAACCAGAAAAGTTCCACTTTATTTACCAGCATGGGGATAAGTTACTGCTACGTAAAATGCAGGAAATAATGTTTTCCTACAACTCGTTCAGATTCTATAAAAAGCATGTAAGAAAAAATCACTTACCACATCAGCATGAACCAGGTTTACATGGTCCAACACTGCTGGAATGCCAACTTACTGACAACAAGCAATACTTACTGGAGATTTAAACCCCTTACCATGGGCAGCCTTTTATCTACGTTCTCACCATGTGATTTTCTGGAGCTCCTTGGCACAAAGCAGCCCCTCAGCTCGCTGCACTTGCGGTGCCACACAGGAGCAGCACGCCGTCCCACAGCGGCGCACATACACACTACAACTACCAGAGCAACATTCCCAGTTGGCACGCTCTGACTCTCCTACTCCACAGCACTCATATGAGAAATACTTCAGAAGAGATAAGCTAACATTTATCAGGTATTCACTTCAGGTCACAAAGCACAAATAAAACATTAAATACAACCGTATCTAAATAATTATATTATTGTGAAAAGGTCTGACCAGAATCCAGTTGTACAAATACAAGATGAACAGTGAAGGACTACCATGCTTTTCAGACTTCCCAAGGTTTAATTCTTCCTCTTATGGTCAGTTTCTCTTCTGCAGGGGAGGAACACACACAGCAACAGAAGTGCAGCAGTGGCAGGCAGGCAGACAGAACACCACCAGTAAGAATGAGAATTCATACAGGTTTTAAATCATTCTATAAGGAATCACTTGGTCATTATCACCAAGCAACTTGTCAGAAATATGAAATTATTTGTGAAGAGTAACAAGTCTTCTCTGTTTTCCTACCTACAGCCCTGGCCTATCCTAGGAGCATTACCAGCCATCACCTGCAACTCCAAGATAAAACCAGAAAGATTTCACATACATCATGATGAGATTTACTGCAATTTTTTTTTAGAAGTATTCAGCGGCCTGGAGATGATTGTCAATTAAAAAAAAAAACAAAACACTTCACAGTTCTGCTCAAAACTTGAAAAATTAAGAATTAATTTTGAATAAAGCAGATGTACTTTTTACATTAAACGTCCCATTAAGTGCCACACATTTATAAGGGAATTATAAGAGATGGGATCTGATGAACACTGACTTTTCTTCTTTACCCAAATGGTTTTCAAACACGAATTTCAAAGGAGCTCTTTGTCAACGAGGTAACCTATGTATGTAGATTTGTATTCTAACTTAGCATGCCTCATGTCTCACACTGTGCAAGAACCACTTCTTGCTAGGCTCACTGATTACACGCCTTCACTTTTCTTCAACTAAACAGGCTGCTGTTAATGGCATTTAATTTAGCAGCAATGGCTACAGATGGACAAAAGACAATATCTAATTCAGAGCTCCTCCATACAAGTGATGAGGCAGAGCAAGCCAACAGGAGACCACATACCACAACTAATATATTGGCATAAAAGCAGTAAAGCTGTTGCATGAGGAACCACCTCACATATAACATTTCCAAACGTGCTTTACACCACACATGAAGTTGCTGATAAGAAGAAAAATTCATGTGACTTCACCTTGGCAGACCTCAGCTTTGGCTCATCCAGATCTTCATGTCAGTCACTCAGTGCCACATCCCTGGAAGTCCATGTATGTGCTGAGAGCTGCTCACAAGGCAGCAGGGACTCTACTGTACTACACTATTAATGGCATGCTGCTCACAGTGCTCCAGGCAGACCTGTCTCTGCCACTCACTGGGCAGGAACCAACTCCCAGCACCTGTAAGCTGAGAGCTGGCACGGCCAGGGCTTGCCAGCTGCGTTTGGGATCTGAGACCCAGCAAAGCTAACATGAGGCCATACTGTACACCAAGCATGAACAGAAGGGCAGGAAACTAAAAAAAAAACCACCTGCCACCAAAACCACCACAGCTGGGACCTCACAATAAGCAGCACACACTGCATCTTCCCCTTTTACCTGGGCTCTGCTCATGGATTTAGGATTAAGTTCTGCTTATGACATAAACGGATCAAGACTTACTGAAGTGCCCTTACAGTGAACTGTGCTTGTGTGGACACACACACACACACCCGTATTTGCTTTTTACATCCAGTTCCACACCAAGTCGCAAAATCCATCTAACAGCCAGATGCAATCTGAGATCCATCTTCAGCCCACTTTCAGACTAGCTGACCCCAAGCACAACAGTCCAACCTAAAGGCAAGGTGCTGCCAGTGAGGCTGCAGGCATCCCTTCCTGGGGCAGACAGACAACGTGCTGCTTCTGAGCCACATCCACCACACCAAGAGCTGCGCTGGGAGCCCGGGCGCTGCTGAGCACATCTCCAACAGTAACACTGCCATCAAGTACTGCGGCTGCTCCTGAATCACCAACATAAAGGTCAAGAAATAAATCTATATCTAATTACCAGTCCTTTCACTCCTGTCAGAACCAAACACTGTTAGTATTTTAAACCAACAGTTATACACCTCACGTAACAAATACAAAACCTCCCACTTAATTATTACTATTCCATTCTGACCCCCATAAAGAAATACCAAAGCAAACACAGGAAGCTTGCAAACAATCAAGATGCTGCCTTTTCTGGTTTGAACTTCAAAGTGCTCTTTTCACTGCAAATGCTACAGGGCCTGCTAACAGACAGCAGTCCACGCATTACAAGCAGGCATCAGGTAGGAAATAATGCTCAACTCCTATTTCAATTCTAACCACCACACTTTTATTTATGACATTACTACTTATCTTCATTCACAGTCATCATTATCATGTGTAAATTCAAGAGTCCTCATGAGTCACACAAGAACCTCAGCACTGAATCTCCTGGCTTAGGCTTATGAATGAAGTCTAAATGACTCACGTTATTTATGCTGCTTTCTTCATGTGCATATTCCCAAAGGGCAAAACTTCTTAGAGATGCCCTCCACTCACTGTGTACATGAGAAATCAATAATCACCACCTGCAGTGTCTGCCTTTTATCAGCCTAAGAGTCAAGACAATGACTCTTCGATGGCAATGACTAGAGACAGTTCATGCACCAGTCTACACAAGTTCCAAGAACAGTAACATCTTAAAAATGTATTAAATTTCCCATCCAGTAAGGCAAGATTTAGTAAGTAAACGCTGTCCCTCAAGAGACAGCTGAAACCTTTACAAAAATAAAAACACCCCTCATTCCACTTACTGTAATGCTTCCTGGTGTAATAATTGGGCACCAACACCCACGTAAGCCTCTTAATGACAGTTTTCTATTTTACTGTCAAGCTAAAAAACAAACAGAACATCTCATGGAGAAGTTTCCAAAGCTTCTCATTACAACTTCAAAACACCATTATATTTTTATTGATATATAAGTATGTTCTTGCACAGAACTGCTCACTGTGCTTTGACATCATACATACGGAGAAATACCACGCCTTCCTCCATCATTTCTTCCTGCACAACAGTTAGGCTGCTCTCTATACGAAAGCCCAGCTCAGCTCCTGCTCCCAGAGCTGCAGCCAGGACTGTTACCAAAACCACACCTCCTATCACAGGCACCAAGGTGCGTTAGAACCTGACCACTGAAGGTGAAGAGTCAAAGCCTATCTCCCATTTTTGTCATTTTTATTTCAATGCAGCTACTCCTGAAGAAGGGGAAAACTGCTAGGGCAAACCACACACAGGAGTTCGTTCTTTATTAGATGGAAATCTCTACAGCAATGAATCTTCAGTTATTCAGATGTCACCAAAAGGCTCCACGTGCGATAAGCTACCTATTGCTCAGCTTATGGGCTTTGGTGTCATTTTATTTCGAGCAGACATCCAAACTCACAACAAGAAGTGGAACCATGGCTCTCATTTGCATACAGACAAAATTTTCATTTCATTCTTGCCTACGTACACTTCACAGCCAACAGAACACAGGGCAATGGGTACACAGCAGAACAGAGGAGGTTGCCCTGAGTATCAGGAAACACTTCTTTTCCTCTGTGGGTGATGGAGCACTGACACACGCTGCCCAAGGCAATGGAATATCCTCAGTGGAGATCTCTAAAAGCTGCTGGGATGTGGTGCAGAGCACTGTGCTCTGGGCAGCTCTGCTTGGGCAGGGGTTGGACTGGACAGACCCGGATGTCCCTGCCAACCAGTCCCTAATTCTGGGAGCCAATGATCTACGTCTCTGTATGACAGAATGACCAAAGTTCCAAGCTCCACACAGAAAACCATCAGCCTGAGAACACTGCAAACAGAACTGGGAGCATTCAAGTCTCACTCTCTTCAACCCAGCTTGAGCCCAAAGAAATCTATGCACATTTGGTCATTTTAAACTGAAATAAATAAAATCCAATAAACTAACGAAGTCTGTTCTAACACCTTGAAGAAAATAAATCAACCTGCAATCTAGAACTCAAGTAGACATCATCAGCCTTCCTGAGGTCAGGATCAACATGCCCTCAGCAGATACAACTGTTAACTAGCTTGGTTTATCACCCCATTCTCCAACTTCTTCAACTGTTCCACCACACAAACCTCACCTTTACCACAAGAGCACAACTCCTTTAGAGAAAAGATGGCACTGATGGGGCTCACAGACAACAGATGAGTAATGCTGACAGACGCAGTCTTCTGAGCTGCAGGGATTGGCCGAACATACTCTGTTGTCTACTTGGGGATAACCTTGGGGGTAAAATGCAAAACAAATGCCATTCTTTCTCCAGATCACATTACTGATTTAAAGCAAAGGGGGAAAACAGTTTGCAGATACATGAACAAAAGGTTAAATTCAGAACATACTATATCTTTTTAAACAGAAGAATTTGGTAGGCACTTGATGCCTACCACAACCACAGTTACTCTTCACTGATATATGCTTCAAGAAAAACATTTTTATTTTTTGTGTATTTTAATAAGGAACATGGCAATAAGGAACATGGTTTTTCGTATTAGTTTATAGCAATCCCAGTCTTACCTACCACGGTCATACCTCTAGTAACTACTAGAAAATCATTAAGACACTCCAAAAGATGCAATCACTACTTTACTATAGCTAAGTTGCAGATCGTATTAACAACTAATTAGAAAACTGTCACGTGATTGTTTACGTAATTATTTTGGCCTTTATCTCTCCTGGCATAGCAGGATCCTTCTCACGTCATCTACCAGGAGGTATGCAGTGATAACGAATCTAAATTCAGACTGTTCTGAGCGCAAACTTCAAACGTTCTCCCCTCATATAACCTCACAAATGCCAACATCAATCCTAAGTGAGCACTTCCCAAATGAGGCCGACAACCCCTTCTCCTTCGCTTCCCAAACTTTACACAGCAGCAGCATTAGTTCCACCACACAGGCAGAACCTTTCTGCCTCAACTCTAAGACTCACAAAATGGAACCAGATACACAGATTTCACTTCAAAAAAAAAACGCATTTTAAAATCATTTTCCTGCTTGGTTTATTGTGTTTTGGGGTGGGTTTCACAACAACAACAGTGACTGTTTAGAGCTGGGGCTTTCCCCACTCCAGGCCCAAGCACTCTAACCCTTCAGTTTCCCAAGAAGTGAATGGCTTTCATGCTGGACCTAATCCCCATTTTGCTGACCTGAAAGCCAATAATGACATTTTTAAGTAAAACTTCTGCTCGTTAGCCACCATCCAGAGGGCTGAACACATGATGGGGCTAATCCAAGCCTGACAATTCGCACTGACTTAGGAGACGTCATTATTGCAGAATTTAAATCAGGCTTATTGCAATAAATGCTGTACACACAGCTCCAAGAATTCAGCACACCTCCTAATGCTCCCATTAGTCCCACATTCCCCTGAAGCAGAAAAAAGAACCAGCTCATGCTTCGTTCTTTGCCCAAGATCCTAGGGCACAGATGGAAAGCTAAGAAGGGTGTCTCCAAATTCCATGTTTCCTAACAGGCAGGAAAAAAAATCAATCCTGTTTTAGGCCAGCTATGTTCAAAATACACATTATTTTGATGTGGGTTTCCACATGGTTATTTTTAATCTACCTAAAAATTTATCTCATATGCAAAGTTTATTACCTACGGATTTTGGCAAAAACAATGAAGAGGAACACCTACCAAGGGCACAGAGCTTATCCCATTATATTCCTTCCTCGTAAGATTATCTCCTATCTGTCTCTTTTAATAGACAGCCAGTTGCAAAAAGAAAACAAAAAACAAAAAACCACCCAAACCCCGACTCCTGCAGTCAGCTGCTCACAATCCCCTGCCCACCGCCTCCACATGCCGTACGGCTCCCAACGGCTCCCAGCCCAGATCCACAGACGCGAGCAGGAAAATGGGAGGCACGGCGGGCCGCCCCCCGGCCCCACGCGCAGTCCCGCCCCGCACGGCTGCGGAGCACAGCGCTGCGGGAATGAGGCAGCGGCTCTGGCCATAAAAAGAGCGGAGCGTTAACGGCTACCCCGGGCTGAGGGCAATGAGTGACGGGCACAGCTGAGGGCACGGCGCACGGATCCCGTACCGTCCCGGCATTCCGGGGAGGCTGATGGCGAAGGAAGCTTTCTGACGACATAAATAAACCCGAAATCGTTACGGAATTACTCCAAATATTTTAAAAGCCATTACTTCTATCTCCGATGCCCCCCGTTCAGCCCCAACCTCCCCCCCCACTCTCCCCACGCCTCCCAACCCCCGCACCACAGACCCCCCCTCGCTGCGCCCCCCCCCTCCCCGCGGCGCCTTTCCTTTCCCTCAGCAGATCCCCTCATCGCGGCCCCGTCGCGCCGCACCGCCACACCCCGGCACCGCCGCCCCGCGCCCCCCCCTCACGGCCCGGCTCGGAGGCTCCGCTCACGACCACCCGCCCCTCCCGGCTCCCAGCGCGGCACGCAAAGCCCCGCGCGGCTCCGGCCCCGCACCGCGCCCGTACCTTGTAGAAGGCCCCATTGGAGCCGCGCACTTCCACCGTCAGCTCCTCCATGTTGCGAGCGCAAAGGACGGTGGGACGTGCTTCTAGAAACTGTCACCACGGGGGGGAGCGCTGCCCGGGCTCCCCTCCCCCTCCGCCCGCCCCCCGGGGCTGCTCCCGCCCCACGCGGCGCTGCCGCTCCGCCCAAGCCGCGGCCGGGGGTGCCGGGAGCCGCCGGAGCGGGGCGTTTCCCGCGGGAAGGGCTGGTGGCGGCCGCTTCCCCCCCCCGCGCGCGGCCAGGGGATGGGAGCGGCCGGGCGCCGCGCTGAGGGGCCGGGCTCTCCCGCCTTCCCAGCTCGCAGGTGGCCCCTCCGCCCCGCCCCGGAGCCGCCGCGATGCGCAAATGGCGGAAGCGGCGGCTGCAGCTGCAGTCGGCGCTGCGGGGAAAATGCGGCGTTTTGCGCGGTGTCCTTTTTGAAAAGCGGTACCGGTGCGGAAGGCCGAGCCGCAATGCCGCCCGCCTCCCCTGCCCCTGCACCGCTGCCCGCCGCCTTTGTGCGTCCTGGGCACGGAGGCCGGGGGGGGGGGGCGGCGGCAGGCCGCGCCCTCCTCCGCGCTGAGGGAAAAGCACAATAAAACACGTGTAAAGATACGCATCTGAACGCCCGCTTGTGCCGTTCGCTGTCCCTCACCGCAGGATCGGCCCCAAACTGTGCCATAAGCTCAGCGCTGTGCGTTAGCTTAGTCATGCAGGGTTGGATAGCAGGATCGTGCCTGCCAAATGCATCTTTTTGCAGTGGTTTTAAATATCGATAATGACACCTTCAGTCCGCTTGGCTTCGGTGTCCCAGCTGACTCCATCGTGAGCAGCCATTTACCACCGTGTGCCCTGGGAGTGGCTTAGGCTGGGGAGACATGGAGATCGGTGCAGCCAGGGCGTGGGCTGCGCAGGCAGCACAGGGCTATGGGATGCTATGGTGAAGCATGAAGGAAAATGGTACAGAAATTATTGGGGGATAAAAACAACAAATAAACAGACTTCCAGAGGACACCGCACTTTCTCCACTCTGGCTCATACCTTTCTTTAGGTATGAGGTAATGCTAAGAAAAAAAGCAGTTCTATCGTCTAGTCTTTTCCCTCTGTGTGCCCAAATATTCTCACTCTTATATCATAATTATTCCACAGGAATGTCGAATGATTCTTAAGTATTTACTTAAGAAGTAAATACTTCTTAAACCTTTAGAAATGCCCTACAGTTCGTTCCGTCACTTGTATCCAGGCCATGTGTAAGAGAGAAGAGAAAGCTTCACACAAAAAAGTAAATGCTCTTCTTTCCTGCTGGTAGATGGCCCTTGGGCCTTTCCAGGAGAAACTCTGGGAGCCAATAGTAGGAAGTAAACAGTTGTGCTGCAAAAATTCTTTGGCCAAAGTTGTCATTGCCCCAAGACTGAACAGCCTGGGATTGGTTTATTCACCTTCCAAGAGATGCTCTCTTAATGTCAGATGTTAAAAAAGTCACGGTCTTGGGTTTATTTTTTTTTAAAAAAGGCAAAAATAAATGGAAAAGAATATATATATATATCCATCAGCTGCTGTCCTCAGGAGTCAAAACAGGACACACATGAAAAAAAACCAATAGCACAATTTCAGAACTGCGTGAGGTGGTTGGGTCTCCATATTTGCAGTGCACAGTACGGTTCTGGTCATTAATGATAACGAGAGCTGGCTTGAGCCAAAGCAATCTGCATCCAAATTTGCCTGATAAAATTTGTTTTTCTGAAAGTATGCACATGTTGCTACGTAGTACCAGTTAAGGGGGCAGGGTTGTTTACAGATTGACACGCTTATGCTGAAGCAGATTGCTGTGCCTATTGTGAAAACGGTGGTAGAGGAGAGTTGTTTCTAGGCTGTGGGCCATGATGGTTTGGGAAGGAGACAATGAAGTTCTAAGTTTTCACTTAATTAGAAGTACTAAATTAAATTAGTTATTTACTGAAATATTAAAAGGGAGAATATTAAAAGGGAGAAGCTTTTATCTACTCAGGTACAACAACTCAGAGTCCTCTGATATTAGCAACTTAAAACCTTTTCCAAAAGACTTCAGATTTGTGTCACTAGCAATTTTAAAACAAAGATTGGCTATGCTACAGTACAACAGAAATAAATTCATGGACATCCCACTGTCTGTGAAACTGAAGGTCAGAACAGAGTTGTCATTCTCAGACCCTTGTGACATGAGAATGCTACACATTAATTTTAGCCAAAAGTAGGAAAACTTGCCATTTTCAATGTTTCAGGCAAGATTGAGACAACTATGGAATCAGCAATGTAATTCTTCAGTACAGTGATCTTACAAACTAAGATTATATTTGGGTATGCAAAGATACACAAATCGATAGCCCTCTGAAGCTATTAGTAGGCTGATAATTTAATTTTGCCTTTTTTTTTTTCCAGTTGTTTCAACTAAAGAGTTATTTCTATGCAAATTAATTTTAGTGTCTTTGTTGTTACCCTAGCAAGGAGTATTGCTGTGTCTTACTGGACATATTCCTTGTCCTTCAGTAAAATAAAACCCCTGAAATATAAGTTCTTAGAAGATATTGTGATTTTTAAAAAGGACAAAAATAAAGGTCAAATACATTCACACTTTCACCTTCATTTACAAACCCAGTGTGTAGTAATCTGGGTTTTACATTCTATTCAATGAGGCAAAAATGCTGACACTTAGCAGCTTGTGTCACAAAAACATAAAATAAACGTAAAAAAATCTAGGTTCACCTTTAAGTGGGTAGAAAACAAATTCTGAACTTTTGGCAGAAGGCTGATAACTATGAGAGAGAGGCATCCATTCACACTTCCAGACTTAGCAGGAGCTCAGGAACTGGCAGCGCTCAGATCCTCTGTAAACAGCCATGCATCCCTCATCCCCATTGGAGACAGGCAACACAGACGAGTACTTGAAAGATATTATGAGTTCTTACTGGCCTCTTATATTTTACCAAATGATAAAACTACAGCTCAGCAGTAGTCTCGGAAGTTCTTTTGAAAAGTAATATGCTTCCAAGTGTGTGGGGTTTACTTGTTTACATGCTTATTTTCTTTGTTCCTCAAAATGAGGTAAGTATTGGAGACATGTAAATTCAGCTTCACTAGAACTGTGTAATTAAATCAGGGCATACTAATCTTTTCATTGCCCAAAGCTCATATTAAGGCACACGGTCTCAACTAGATTGTCTTCTTGGGCTGCAGCTATATAAAGGGCCAGTGGTTTGTTATATTAAAAAAAAAAAAAGGAAAGAAAACTCCAAAAGGAAAGGTTTGGGTTTGTTGTTGTTTGTTTGTTTTGTCCTTTGCTGTAATTTTTGCACTATTGGAATACTGAGACAAACAGGAATCTCTCCCAATTTTCAGCAGCCTTTTACAGATGCATTCCTGACCTTTACAAATGAATGAATAGTTGTCTGGAGGTTAGCTGAACTGCATGTGCCATGCCCAGATACATCTGCAAGTGCTGTAAGCAGACACCGCTTCTGAAAATAGGATCCACAAAAGGTGTTGCTAAGTGAGTGTATGTAAAAACATTTTCATGTAGTGCAGTTTTAAACCCTCTGGTATAGAAATCAGAGAAAGGAGAAATAGTAAGTGTTCCTATTATTGTAAATAAGCATTCATACTTATCTTGAAAGGAAAAGTCTTTGGAGCTGGTTTGTATGTATTGCAGCTTACAGCATTCACATTTATCTTTCTTTGTCTAGACATGGTGACCTTAAAATGTTCCACAGATTTAGGGTTAAAAATTCCTTCTGTTTAGTGGGATAAAACATGTAAATAATTCACAGAATGCAGCAGGCATTTACGGTTACACTCTGCCTCCTGTTACTGCACTGTCACCAAAGTAATTAAATTACATAGGGAAGACATCAAGAATCTATGCTGAAAGAAAATCATTTTTGACTACACTTTGTATTTATGCTGAAGTAACGATGAGCGAATATGACTCAGGTTTCATTTCTTCAAAATCCACAAGATATGTATGCTCAGCAAAATAAATATATACATCCAGGCAACAAACCACAATGTGAAAATAAATTTACACTGAATTACAACCTGTGAACGTTGGTTTTGTTTTTTTTTTTTCACACTGTTTGAACTTCTGGCTTACCAGTGCTTGGCTGGTGTTCCTATTTTTGTCAGTAGCAGCATAGGAAAGTAAGCAAAGTACAACTTTAAGTTTGATGTCATTCTAAAAGCAAAGAGAAACAGTAGACAACACCTGCTGTTGTGCACAATGTTCATTCTGGCACAATGCAAAGAAAATGCAGAATCACTTCACTGAAATTTTAATGAACTCAAATGAGAATGCTGCTGCTTAATGGACTTTATGCAATGGTCTGAAGCTCGTCCATTCACAGAACAACTTTTCATGGGGTTGGCTTGGTTTGCTAATCCCATTATCACTTTGATTCTATTTCTTTCAAATGCTAGTATGAATGCAGCTGGTCAAAAATAGCCTAGCTTGTACTTGACTTTGTTCCAAGCCATGAAGTGAAGTGCACTGTGCCACCAGAGAGGTATCTCCGTATTTGTGTGAGGTCATGGTTAAGTAATGGTGTGTCATACACAGTATGAGCTTTGCGTATCTAAGCCTGGAAGTTCTGATCTCCAAGTATTAATATTTTATCCTTCCTATCACTGTAGATACGCACATGCGAACAAATGAATCATTTTGTCTTCTGAATACTTTCAAAAGAAACCAGGAAAGGAAAATACTATTTTCACTTTACTTCTGGTAGTTTTGTTCTTTTGTTTCTTTTGTTCTTCTCAGGCACGTATCCTAGGCTGCCTTTGTTTTTACTTGACAAGACCCACTGCCCTAAGAGCAAAGATAAGCATTAAGAACATAGAAACTTTCACATCAGGATCTCAACAACAATTGTTTTCCAAAATAGGATTGTATTCAACTTGCTCAGAGGAGCTTTTAATCAACTATTATTTTAGTTGGTAGGCACTGACCTTAAGAAATTAGATACCAATACTTAGAACAAGCATGCACATATGCATACTTTGTTGTTTGCAAGACACAGCTAGTAACTGATACCACATAAATGTGCATAACCTGAAACCCT